CCCCCCCCAGCATATCCTGGTTTTCAAGTACCCCAGCAGAGATAGGGTTAACTTACTAATGTAAAGTACAGTGTATTTAAAAAAATGTGTCTAGGCTTTTCAACCTACTAAACATCATTGTTTTGTGTTAAAACATGCTGCTATGATGTAAAATTTCCACAAATGGGATGAAACATTTGATTTGAAACAATTGATGAAACATTTGACTCTAAAATTAATTAACATCTTCAGAAATGGGACCGAGCACATTTTTTAATATTAGGAATAATTTTAAAGGTTAAATCGGCAGTTTAGAATATGTTTTGACAACAACCCAACAATTTATGGACATTGCACCTACTAGTAACACTTTTTAATAGTGGGTGAAAAGAAATAACATCTTTAGAAAGGGGATCGAGCACAATTTTTAATGTTAGAAATAATTTTAAAGGTTAAAACAGCATTTTAGAGAAAAATATGTTATTGACAACCCCCCCCCCTTCACTTTATAGGAATTATAGCTTCTAGAACCATTTTTTTGTGATGTTTGATAGGCTAAACAGCCTCAACACACTTTTATCAGAGACACCCTGAAGTTAAGTGGCAATGGAAGCAGATTAGTAGACCTATAATGTAGAATGCTTCCATATTTAAGTTTTGATGAAAATAGTCTCATACTTTGTTTTTCTAGTTAAGGTTAGTGTTAGTTGGAATTATTTTAATTTGTAGTTTTAATTCTGTTTTTATGGCTTTGTAAAATTTGCTGCTTAAGTAAATATTTAAAAAAGCTTATGTCTTAAAGTTAGAAGTTAAGGCTAGAATAAACCACCTTTATTTTCACAGCTTAAACCTGCTGATGATATTGGCTGGTGCCCTTGTAAGCAGTCCTTTAAGTGAGTGGCTAGGCAGGTATAGATGTAATATTGACATTTGCTAGATCTTTTACAATAATTACTTTTTCTTAATCTCTTAGTGAAACAATATTGTATTAATATGATAATTCTACTTTGATTTTGAAATATTAAGAAAGCGATGTTTAATCCTGGTGAATCTTCTGCAGATTGGATCTTGTATACTTATGTGGATTGCATATACCTTCCCGATTCTTCTATCTGGTTGGTTACTCAATGGTTTCTCAGCAGGTTTAGGTATGAGTATTAGGAGTTTTTCCTAATACAGGTTAGAATTGGATATGAAGTTTTAAGAGGTTCATTTAAACATTTAAGGTTGTTGACGTTTAACCTGCTTTAGTGAAAGAATTTGAGAGGATTGTCACATAGCAAACTTTGAATTTTCGGAGTTTGCTTTTAATACATTTTACATTATCAAAACAATGATAGTTGGGGTAAAGAATTGTTCAAGACAATTGGCAGTATTTTTGTAGTGTAATGAAAACCTAAGTTAGTGAGCATTACATTTTGACAAAGAATATGCAAAGTAAAAAAACCAAGCTCAATTTAATGACCATCCCTAATTGCAGCCTTTTGAAAGTAGTAGGCACCATCTTAAGAGACCTATGGGTAGAGTTTCCAATGTAATAGATAATTCACTTAGATGAAGTTATGTGCAGTTACTGAAACTAATTTTTCTTTCTCTGGGGGGTAAAAACAGAGTCTACTGTTCCTCTTGGATCTATCACATTAATTACATCTTGGGGATTTTTGGGAGCACTCTTTGGGCTAAAGGGTTTTCAGGGCCCTCTCCTGTCAGAGAAGTACTAGTCAGTGACTTCACCCCAGGCTGGCTGGTATTCAGGGACCTCTCCTCCTGTGTGAGTGTTCTATGGAACCTTTCTCTAGACTGGATGGTTCTCAGGGACAGACTGGGGGGATCTTAGGGACCTCTCCACAGGCTGGGGTTTTCTTGGGGACCACTCCCTAGACTGGGGGGATCTTTGGGACTTCTCAACAAGCTTGTTGGTTCTTGGGGACCTCTCTTTTGACTGGTGGTTTCTCTGGAACCTATCCTCAGAACTTGACAGGGACTTCGGGTTCTCTTGGAATCTAACCATGGACTGTGGTTTCTTCTCGTAGTTTAAAATATCAAACGCTAGCCTTAATTTTATCGATGATTTTATAATTAAAAAAATAAAGCTTTATTCATAACCTATTTGATGACATTAAAATAAGGTCAATAATTCAAATAGCAAAAAGTTATGGTAATTTGAAAAGCGCAAACTCTTTGCAGTTGTCCAAACTTCATGATATCACTGCTCTACACAGGGAGGTAAACAGAGTCTAAAAATTACTGATTCTGTAATGTCTCACATAGGTTTCTTAATATTTGAAGTTTGAAAAAAATGAAGATGGTGCCTACTGGGGGATGGCTAATTTCATATGTACTGACACTATAAGATAATCTGTCACAGTATATTCATCTAACACAGGAAAATGATAATAATGTTTAACAAATCTAAAAGCAAGTCAATGATTTATTCTATTTCATCAGTAAGCACTTAAAATTGTATATTTCAAAAAATTATTATAGGAATAATGCCATCATACACATTAGTAAGCGAAATATCAACAATCAAACTAAGAGGAGGTAACCAAGTTTTATCCCATTTGAAGGGTTAAAGAATACTCTATCAGGAATTAACTATGGTAGATAACTTGAATGTTTTTTTTCAGTTTTTGCCAACTTAAACATTCTCTACTCCAATTATGGATGGTTGGTAAGAGCAATATGACCGTTGTGTCCATGTTATAACTTATTTTTAAATTTAACAGTGGAGAAAACAAAATAGGACAAAAAGTCTATATTTCACAGTATAAGGATGGAACTTACAATATAGATATTATGTAGTAGAATTTTTCTTAACATTAAAAGCAGGCACACATACTGATAGGTAATGTAGATATCTTGAGTACTTTGAACTTTTAGAAGATACCTGACATAGCTGAGAAAATCAACAAATTTCAAAATTGTTTTTTCTAAACATTTACATGTCTTACACTCACTCACTCATGATCAAATGTTGTTAGTAAACTGTTGCAAAATACAGTTAGAACCTTCACAAGTTCATATATTTTTCTAATTTATTTTAATAAGACCAAATTCCTTAAAAGATCTAGTAAATTGCACTGATGAAAGCCTAATTGAAAAATTTATAAATTAAGAAGAAGTTATTCCATGACACTAATGGGAACATTTAATAATTACGAGTTTAAAGGAATTGAGTTTTTGCTTCAAAATCAAATTTGTTAATCCATTTATCTTTTCAATCTGATAGATACCTTTGTTACTTCAAACTGTGATCCAACAGTATTTTTAGTTCAAAACTGGGAAGTACAGCATAAGATTGGAATTAGAAAATAAGAGTTTGGGACAAAAAACTTAATTCCTTTGTTATATTTGTATTTTAATGAATTCTACAATTTATACTACTAATGTTTAGCTTTTATTTGCTGTTAACATGACAATACCACCAGAATATCTCTTATTGCTTGGGATAACACTGTCGGTGCTTTTTCTACTCCTTTCTCCTTTTATTGTTTACTCTCCACACTGGCTTGTCAGGTTTTAAACATTAAAATATTAAATGTATATAATAAACCTCTTGGCTCATATACAAGGTGTATCTAAAAAAAGTGTGTATAGCCATTAAGGCTTAGTTAACATTGTTGTCTTCACCCACTAAACTTTATTTATTCTAATACAATGTGTGCCTGTAGTATTGTACCAATGACGATAAAATTGAAAGTTTTATTGTCTTTTAGTTTAAAAAATCCTCAAATCTATCATTGAAACTGTGCAATTTAATCTATTCTGTCATATAAAATGCGAAAAATATAATTATAATTCAACTTTTTAAAGAAAATCTTTGAAATGGAGACCAAGCACATTTTTGAATATTAAGTCTGCTTTTAAAGATTAATGCATTTTAGAAAAAAATGTTTCATTGACAATCCCTCCCCCCCATTTGTGGACATTGTACATGCTAGAAGCACTTTTTAGCTCATTTGAACTATATTTAGAAGGCTAAAAAGCCTAAAAACACTTTTTTCAGAAATGCCCTGTACATTTTTCTATATGTTTATATATTTATATATTTGTTTGTTTATATATTTACATATTCATATATTTATATATTTATACATATATATATATATATTTATAAACACATATGTTAGCTAAAGCTGGCCAAAACAAAGCCAGAAATGTAATACAAAGGTTTTGACATTTGTATAACTGAAACAACAGATATCTTTCAGAAATGGCAAAATAAAAAAAGCAAGAGAAATGCTGAGGTATGTTTAATCTATTGTACTTTGAGAAAAGTTGTTTAAAGAATGATTAAGATATTCTTATTTTACAATTTTGAAGGATATTAAGAGGTCCTGAATATGCTGGCATTGAAGAAGAGATAAACGAGATATTAGCTGCCACTAAAAAATACTTCAGAAATAAAAATGTAAGAACCAAAATCAAGTCCTTTCAAATAGATCTATATATTCCCTGATGCAGAATGCAGGTAAGTATGTGAATTTAATTTAGGAAACATAATGTTATCATAAAAAGATGGTATGAAATAAAAGAAATCTAAAGCCTGAAAACTGATGTGAGTAAATCTACAGAGTATTGGAAAAATGAAGAAATAAAATGATTCTAGTAAACCATGGAATCTCCGCCTTTCATACCCCTGATACTACCTATCCAATTCTTTATCGATCTAGGAGACAGAAAGAGAGGGAGTTAAAGCGTAACTACAACCAAATTTCTTTTCTCAACCAAATCTTAGTTAAAGGGGAAATAGACCATAAAGTACAACTACTAGGATCAGCTAAAACTAAGCAGAGGTGCCTCTTGATATCTCAAAGGAAATTCTACTTGGAAATAAATCGACAAAACCAGAATTTCAAATATGCGTTCCCATGCAAATATTATTTTGAAATAGCAAATCTTGTGGAACTTTCGTTGGTCACTGGTTAATCAATTATAAAAGATTTAAGTCTTATAAATGACAGATGCTCGCCATAAAGAGGAGCAAGTTAAATTGCAGGGAAAAACTCTGGGGTAGAGATGGAGCTAGAAATCAAACTTGACCAGGGATTAAAGAGACAGGAGACAAATCTAAATCTCAACCGTAACCAACTCTAAGGCAACCTTGCTAACTCTTTTACATTCAACCGTTCACAATAAAACTAACTCAACCGCCACGCTAAAGGAAACCGTTCCAAACTGTTTTTTTTTAACGATAATTTATCTTACTAGGAAACCTGGAGTTAAGGTAAGGATGGATTTGACCAGGAGATAGGATAAGAACACTAGGGTTAGATCATCACTACAAAGTTTCAATCAAAGGAATACTATTCCAAGCAGGACAGTTTAAGTTTATCTCCGATTTAGTTTAAACAATTTAAGATTTCAATCTTATCTATATATAGTTTTAGTGGCTAGTTTTCTATCTTCCTAACTTTCTAACTTCTCTAACTTACTTATTGGTTATCCTAATAACTAAGGTTTCAAATCTATGATGTTTCTATGTGTTGACGATTTTAACTTGAGAGAATAGAATGTTAGTTTCCAAACTAAATATGTTAGATCAAAAGATTGTTGGAATCAAAAAAGATATTCTAAGAAAAAAAACTACGATTTTCTTTTAGTGATTTATTTTCTCAAACTAGAAGTTCAAAGTCAGAAACAATTGGACTTGAACTAAATTTCAGAAAAGATGCACTTATTTAAAATTATGTCAAGGTTTAAACAACGATTCCTTTTACGTCAATCTAACACTTTTAGCTGAAATAGAGAATTTGGACAGATGGACTTATTAAAAGTATTTAATAAAACAAGACTCACCAATGGCTGCGTGGTTGGGTTCACTATTTTGTTTAATCACTATTTTCACTTTATTCACTACAAGGTAATAAAACCTTGCTCGTGAAATCGAGGGTTAATGACTAATTTCTTAAAACTTGCCAAGAAAAATTCAACTAGAACAAAGTTGCAAATAATCTTTTCCGATAACTAGTTTGCTTGGAAAAGATGAGATTGAAACAAGAATAAACTACTGTATTACGAATATATAAACAAACCCGGAACAGAAAATTGAGTTAACGGTAATATAACTTAAATGTCATTAAAACCTGATTTGTACACAATCTGGCTTAGCTCAACCTTGGGTCACTGATTTATCATACTGTTCAGTGCCTTTACCGTCGTAAGACCTTTTATACCGGGAAATGAACCGCCCTTTGACCAACGGACATTACCGCCATCATTATCCAATCAAATTCTCTTATTTCAGCGATGGTACAGATGGTTTCTGTATCCAATCAAAACACCTTCTGCTCCTTGAGCAAATACGAATGACCCATATTGACCCTTGACATAATACAAACAATAATATGACTAAATCCTCATATTTTTGTTTGCTGAGACTAAGAACCTATGAAGGGGTAGATTTACTCTACAAGAGAGAAATCCTTACAAGGTTACAATATTTAAAATTAAAATTAGAAGGAAAATTTCTTCGCTAAAAAGTCCTAAGTGTTCCCTGTTGCTGATCCTGATTGACACCTGCTCTGTTATTTTTCACATCACTGATTCATACAATCATCAACTATGTGTCTATCTATACATGTTTCCACTTTTATACTTTTCATATTTTGTTCTTTTCTCGGATATTTATCACTTCTCCTTACTCGATTCTTATATTTTTGTGTCCTGGTCACTTTGTGAGAGTAGTTTGCACACAGGGTCTTCCTTCCACATTATTCTGAAGAAAGAAACTCTTCTCCTCCCATACGGTGAATAATAGATGAGGTTCTGGCTTGGTATTTCAGCTGAAAACAGTTTTCAAAGATCTAAAAATAAAAAAAACATATATCTAGTTTTCTCGCTATTTCTTTTTAGATCTTACAGTTCTTCTATGGTTCTAAACTAGCTAGAACATGCCGTGGTCACACTGCATCACCCCTCCGATGGGTTGGCATTTTCTATTGAGAAATATTTCTCCACATTGGCAACTTATCTTATGCCCCACTTTCTGTACGACCTAGAGCTATATACAAAAGAGCTAATATGTTGTCCTGTTTATATGCTGGACTACTTGCATCAATGGAACTATCCCTATTCCAAGAAATTGATATTTTTTAACTTTTTCATTTGGGAAAAAATACATTTTCCATTGTTTCTTGGGTTTCCAGAACTCAAGAACTCCTGTACAGTAGAAGTTTCCAATTTTTTACCAAAAACATTTGCAATTAAAGCTTGACTTTGGTTGGAAGGAGTGTGACCAAGTGTACCAGAGTTTATATAATGGGCTCTTTTTACAATCATCTTTATCATGATTTGCTCCGAACTTGTAGCAGCTCTTCAGCTTACACTTTCTGATGTAGTGTGGACCACCACATTTTCAACAGTTTACTTCTATCACATTCAATGTGTCATTCTGATGTGTTGGTTCATGTTGTAAATACTGTATCACAGTGTCTCTAAAGGCTATGAAGAGGAAGGGTACCTGTCTGACATAACTTCCTACTGCGGTGACCAGGATCTTATTTGCCAGTCCTTCCACTACAGTGGTGATTATCAGCAAACCTTCATTCATACTGTAGCAAGTCATTCATACTGTAGTGAGATGTTGGATCAGAAGTATCCTTGCATAACTTCCTGATTCTCTCCAGGTACATTGGGATGCTTTACCAGAGTTCTGTCTCACTCCTAGATATATCTGTTTAGTTGTTTCATAAGTAATTATTGTATTCAGAGAAATAAAAAGTTGTGTTACCCTACACAAATGTTGTATATACATTGTGTGCAGGTAACGTTTTTTCATGTAAAATAAAATATATTTAATAATCTGTTAAAGTTATATTCAATTATCTTGCTTAAATCAGGCAACATTCTGTATCATGACCTCACAATAATTATGGAAGTTAATGTAGGGTACCATTACAATAATGATGTGTAAGCTTCCTGGTACATTACAATTAAAAGTAAGTAATGTCAAGGTGTTTGCAGGGTTGTATGGATCGTTGGACTACTCCCCAGACTTTGATACCTCTCGGAATTGTTGTCACCATGTTTGGATCAATTGGTGAGAGCTTTACCATTCACTCTTACCTTAAACCCATTATTTATTCTGTTAAAATAATGTAGATCAATTGGTGTACACCAAAAGCTTGGAATAGAATTTGATAGTTAAAGAAAGGGGTTCAATACTTTCAAGCGCAACAAAATCTTTGTAAACCTTCTGATAACTTTCTGATTTACAGTGCAAAGGCTTATATTGCATTCATTGAAGTCAAATGACAATAAGTTTTTAGAATTCATTATGTTTACAGTCATTTCATTTCATTTCAATCAACATTTGCTTCTAACAGTTTAAATGTGTACATTTTAAATACCTCAAGCTCAATACAGCTCAATTTGGCTATTTCCCTAATTTGGAGAAAAAAGGAGGAAATTAAACATAAAGTTCAACTTGTGATTAATATATACTTTGAAAAAAAAAATCAGCAGTAGCAGTTGAACGAGCAGTTAATTTAAGAACATTAAATCTATTTAGGGCTATGTGGCCGAGGAGCCCCTCTTAACTTTTATGGACCGAGGAAAATTAGTCTTATGATTCAAATATAAAATTAGTTTTTAGTTGAAGAATGCTTTTAACTTTTACATTTAAATCTCTTCTAAATTAAATAAGAATTCCACTCTTGCAAAGATAAAGATATTTTTTTTTTACATTTATAAATACTCATTTTCAATTAAATGTTTCTGAATTAAGCTGATGGGTTTAAGCATGTTTGCTGAATTTGGATTCTCAATTCCGTACAAAACAATCATGCTCTTTATTCCAGTTGGTAAGTATTTTCTATGGAAGATTTACTGCTAAAGGCTGCCTGGATGGAAGGGTGCAGACTAAGGGTGATTGATTTGTGACATTTTTAGAAATCAGTCAACCGTCCACAGGAGGTTGCAGCGTTTTTACTTTTAAAAAAAAATTCAAAATTGTTGATAGGGTTGGGAATTGACAATTTAATATTGCAGAAATTGCCGTAAGGCCTAAAAACAATATTTTAAAAAATTAAATATGATACATCATTTTCTTGGAAATTTCATGCTGTATTCAGATTCAAAACTCATTTTTAAATATATGAAAATTTAAAGAAGTTATGGTCAAATAAAAGTACTAAACTCAGACCTCCAGCGGGCAAAGGGCTCAATTCCAAAATTGATCACCCCTAGTGCAGACTGCAGTTTTCTCTTTCTTTACATTTGTGAAAATTTTGATTCAAGAATTAGAAATTTTTAATACATGTAAGTAAGTAAGTAAGTAATTATTTATTTATGAAATATAACAAAAACATACAAAATTAGGTATTCAGGAGAAAATATTTTAAAACCTCCAAAAAATAGAAGTGGAAAGATTTCCCCCCAGTTCTTAAAAAAAAAAAGAAAAAATTGAAATCAAAGAAAAAGGAAAACAAAAGGAAAAGGAAAGTTACATATTTATTGTTTTATATAAATTGGTGGTGGATTGTTAGTATTTTACAACAATGAACTAACAACTTTTAAAACTAAAAATGATAGATTTATTGGTAATATAAAAAAAAATTTGATATGGGCTTTATGGGTTGTGATAAAGATACAGGTTATATGGTTATATGGTTACATAGTTATTTGATTATATCATTATGGTTAAACTCTTTACCTGTAAAATGTTCTGAATTAGAAGTTATGTACAAGAAGTTAAATTCTTTATGGCATATTATCCAGATATATCTATACTGTTCCCTTTATACAAAACGATAGATTAATAAAGCTATAATAATTATATCATTAGGTGCAGCAGCTGGTTTTACTGCTAGTCTGTTTATTTCCAAAAACTTGAAGAAGAAGAATCAGTTTATTATGGCTTCTTGTATCATGATAGTTTCAGCAGGTTAACCTTACATTCAAACATTTATAATAACATATAATAACATGATGAGTGGTATTTCAGGTACTCCCAAATAGAGATAGGCATGTTTGGCTTTTTATCATTTTGTTTGTTCATCGTTCATGAAAGGTTCATTTTGTTGAATTACTTTCAATCATTTAAAAAATAATTGATTTCGTTTGTTAACTACATTATGGTTCATTTTTCTTTAATTCCTGCGTTTTGTCATTAAATGATTGTTCAGTAAAATCGTCAGTTTTGTTCGTTCTCAAAATGTTCTTTCTTTCAAAATAACGAAGCCCATCTCTACTCCCAAGTTCTAAACACTTGCTTCTGTTCTACATGGTCTCAATTAATCATCCTTTACTTGGCTTAAACTATTCTCAGCATTGAAACTAAGAGTACAAACATAAGTCTATATTGGTCTAAATGATTTAAAAACTGGAAATAAAATTTTTGAAGCTTCCTTGAGATTGAAGAGATTAATTAAAAATACTTAATATTTTATGCAGCTTTAACCTATTCCTGCTCAAAATGTATTGGTCAGAGGTTGTTGAAATTTTCTGACTTATCCTAAATAACCCTAGCCCTCCTTTAAGGTCCAAAATCGGGCTTTTATACTATCTGCCTCAGTCCTCTGCAGGCACACTGCCTGAATGTACCAAACTAAATTTTTGATTTACCCACTTTCAGTTGTCAGATTTTGATAATTTTTTGCTTTTTGGAAAGCCTATGACACAAGAATATGAATTGCACAAGTTTTGCACAGAATTTTTGCAAATGATTAATTACACATCATCAGGTTATTTAAAATTTTGCAGCATTTTTGTATATTTGAAATTGCATGGTCAAGGGCTTTTAAAAAATGTATATTTTATCGTTTTTTGAACATTTTTTTTGCAAACATTTTTACTATATAAATTGATTTGCTAATTTGCTATTTTTTGCAGATTCTAAAAGTAGAGCATACACACATTCCAATGATGTATCATGTGTCATATTTGGACATCAAACAATGTATTTAGAGGGAGTGGGATTCAAATTGACCCCCCCCCCCCAGCATATCTTGGTTTTCAAGTACCCCAGCAGGGATAGGGTTAACATACAAAATTTGATTACGAACAATACAATTTTACATTTTAAGTAATAAATAGTCAGTTAAATCTCTATATGAGTTCTTTTTTATTCATTCTCTTTATGGCTTTATTTAGACCTGTTTAGACCTTTGAAAATTAAAATTTGTCAATAAATCACCAAATTACAACTTTTTTTCCTCAATATTTCATAAAATCAGCCATTTTTTAAATTTGATTAGGTCAGAGAGGCTTTAAAAAATGTTTTTAAAGCTCTTTTTGGTTTCATTCAGACCTATTTATACCCAATATCTCAGTTGCATTCCTACAGCCTAGGGTAGTAGAGCTCTGATAGAAAGCTCTCTGCACTATTTGCAGTGGACACTAAGAAAGGTGTTTGCACCCCGTGCTCAATTAGCCAGCCTCATTCTCAACTACAGTACCCACAGCAGGGGTACTATGTCAAGGAATAGGAATAACAAAGATCTAATTTGTCTAATTCTAATCTGGTTTTTAATCCACTCCACTTAGCGATTGGAGCCTTTTCTGGAATAGCCCTGTCCCTGCTCCCTGAGCAACCAGATGAAAGGGGACAACTCTGCATTGTGCATGCAGCTGTTCACACTAAATACAATACTTACTAAGGAATTCTGATGGACTGGGAAACAGTATAACATGAGGATAAATGGAGTGATTTTATTGAAACATTCCTAATACCCCACTCCTTAAAACCCTTATCTACGTCTTCAGTTTCCTCTACCTACCATCAAACCTTCTCACAAGCAGCGAAATGAGACTACAGAACAATTCTCTGTTTGACCCTACAACAAAATTACCTCTGCTCCGAGCGGGTCACTTGATTATCCTTTGTTGAATTGCAACCTTCCTTGTACAGGAAAGTAAAACTGTGCAGTTCATATGGCAGGGAAGCTATTGCTTCCTCGCTGCAAATATAATTTAACTTGAAGTGCAGGAGTGGTGACCTTACACATGCAAGTAGACAGAATGTTCAGAGCTGAGGCTGAAATTACAATTAACCCTATTCCCGCTGGGGGGGGGGTCAATTTTGCCCCCCCCCTGTAGTTTTTTTTACATAACTCAAAAAGTATTGGTCTGAGGCTGTTGAAATTTTCTGACTTTTCTTACATACCCAAAGCCCTCCCTTTAGGCCTAAAACCGGGCTTTAATACTAACTGCCTGAGTCCTCAGGCAAACTGCCTGAATGACTGCTTTTGCCTGTAGCAAACTAAATCTTTGTTTTGACCCACTTTCACTTGTAAGATTTTGATAAAATTTAGCTTTTTGGAAAGCCTATGACATAAGGAAACGGATTGCACAAGTTTTGCGAAAAAAAATTGCAAATTTTTTGCAAAAAACCTGTCAAAGGAAATTTGCACATTTTTAGTTTTTCTTGATTAAAAATCAGGTTATTTAAAATTTTGCAAAAATTTTTGCATATTTGAAATGGCATGGTCAAGGGCTTTTCAAAAATGTATAATTTGTCATTTTTTGGACAAATTTTTTTTTGCAAACATTTTTACTATAAAACTGGATTTTGCGATAAAAAATTCAATTTTCGCAAATTTGCAATTTTTTTTGCAGATTCTAAAAGTAGAGCACAAGAGCTTTCTAATGATGTATCATTTGTCATATTTGGACATAAAACATGGGATTTAGAGGGGGGGGGTCAAATTGACCCCCCCCCAGCGTATCCTGGTTTTCAAGTACCCCAGCGGGGATAGGGTTAAGCAAAACATTCAAGAACGAAGAGGGGGCATCTATACAATGAAAGGTTATAGTGCACTGACTTATAATTGCACAAAGACAGTGACTTGTAAGCATTCTTTCAAAAGCAGTGCCATAAATGGAGGGGAAAATGGAGGAAAGAAAACAAGAAACTGCAGATGTGCAGATTGAGACAGGAGACAAAAGATGAACATTTGAAATTATTAACCATGCCTCATACCATTTTATTTTACAAAAATTATAAAAATAAATTATAAAAACATTGTTGAAAAAGATCTAATACTTCTATCCTTAACTCAATATCAAATTCTTCAGAGCTGTCTGCATTGAAATTCTGCAACGTTAGAAGCTTGCTTAATTTCTAAAAGTTTGGAAAAATAGTTTAAGTCTGGCTTTTATTCTAGGCTTGATATCATTATCCTACTATTTAAAGAATGTATCTGAAGAAATAACACAGTACAAACTGTTTGCTCAGGTATTAAATTGCGTTTCACTTTAATGATGTTTCACAATAATACACCTAATACCAGGCTTTCCATGTGATGTCACATTCATCTCAACTATATTCTAACTAGAAGCAATCTCTAGCTCATTTAGCATCTAGACTAGATTTTATTACACAGACTAAGAAACCTCTGTAATAAAAAAACAGCCTCTTCATTCTATTCTAATGATTCTATTTACTTCAGATCCTTTTTTCTGTTGGTATGTTTGGAATGACTTCAGGTAAGGGTGCATTGTTTTACTTAGGAAAAAAGTAATTTTTACAGAATGATTCCCCCATTTGGCTGGAAACCCTAGGTGCTTGGTACAGTAGTGTTATCTATACCATACTTATGATACAAAATGTGGTGCTGGGTACATTAGTGATAGCTATACCATACTTATGATACAGGATGTGGTGCTGGGTACAGTAGTGTTATCCATACCCTATTTATGATACAGGATACGGTGCTGGTTATGGCATTGTTATCTATGCCCTATTTTAGATACAGGATATTGTGTTGGGTAAGACAGTGTGGTATATACCATTTTATGATACAGAATATGGTGCTGGGTATGGTAGTGTTATCTATAATGCCCTATTTATGATACATGATATGGTGCTGATTATGGCTAGGGTTTCAATGAAACAGTGGATTCACTTACACAACAGTTTCGTGTTTTTGCATGGACGAAATTTCTCATCAATTTTGTTTCAATATGAAACAACACAAAATTACTCATGAATAAAGAATTTAAGCCATAATTTTAAAATAATTTTGTGCAGGATTCTTGACATCTTTGTATTAATCTATAATCTTTAAATATGTATATACATCAATCTTGTTTGGTGGCTGCTGATTAATTCATTCGTTTCCTGAAATTGTTTCACGGAATTGAAAGAAATAACAAAATAAATCAAAATAATGAAATAGCAGTAAACAACAAAATTCACAAAAACCAAGATTTTCTTCAGAATTTTTGCAAAATAGCTTTTGTACATCAATGCAAAATTAAATTGAAATTTCATGCAATTTTTACTCACAGCATAAAAAATCTTTGCGAAATTAGTGCAAGATTTTCTTGTTCAATTGGAAACCCTAGTTATGGCTGTTTTCTTCATATGACCTTTTTATATTACAGGATATGGTGGTGGTTATGGCAGTGTTATCTATACCCTATTTATGATACAGGATATGGTGGGGGTTATGGCAGTGTTATCTATACCCTATTTATGATACAGGATATGGTGCTGGTTATGGCAGTGTTATCTTTACCCTATTTATGATACAGGATATGGTGCTGGTTATGGTAGTGTTATCTATGCCTATTTATGGTACAGGCTATGGTGCTGGTTATGGTAGTGTTATCTATACCCTATTTATGGTACAGGATATGGTGCTGGTTATGGTAGTGTTATCTATGCCCTATTTATGATACAGGATATGGTGCTGGTTATGGTAGTGTTATCTATACCCTATTTATGATACAGGATATAGTGCTGGTTATGGTAGTGTTATCTATACCCTATTTATGATACAGGATATGGTGCTGGTTATGGCAGTGTTATCTATACCCTATTTATGATACAGGATATAGTGCTAGTTATGGCAGTGTTATCTATACCCTATTTATGATACAGGATATGGTGCTGGTTATGGCAGTGTTATCTATACCCTATTTATGATACAGGAATGGTGCTGGTTATGGTAATGTTATCTATATCCTATTTAAGATACAGGATATGGTGCTGGTTATGGCAGTGTTATCGATACCCTATTTATGATACAGGATATGGTGCTGGTTATGGCAGTGTTATCTATACCCTACCAGGAGAGTTACTAGCTCCTGAGGATAAGAGTATGGGAGGAGCAGCGGCTGAATCATCTCGCATGATTGTTGAAGCAATGGTATCAAAGGTTTAAACTTGTAATTATTAATAGTGATATGTAAAAATATTTTCAATTTTAATCAAAAATTATTAGTAATGAATGTTAATTGTACATTACAATATTAAAAAAACGTTAGGCTTATCCCTACATTCTTGATGTTTTTGGGTTCTCAGTTGTGTTCTTAGGCCATGCAGTTGCAATCTTCCTATCTGCTATTTTTGTGTTCAAGTAAGTATTAAAATCTGATAATTAAAAATTTGTATCTTAGTATACAAATATAGGTTTTCCAATAAAATGTAAAAATTAGCTGTTTTGTTGCATTCCAATCCTAAAAAAAGCTAAATTTTTCTATTTTAAACAGATCTTTATATAATATATTACTACCTAATAAGAAGTCAGAACTATTGTGTTAAATATTGGTATAAACATTGATCTACAATCTCAATATCAGACAGATGTATGGATCAATTAAAGTCTATGTTCATGGCCCTCAGAAATTCCTTTAATAAAAATATTAAGTATTGATAATAATATACAGGTTTCAAGATTAACAATAACAACATAAAAGTTTGTCTCAGTGAATTCCTTAATCTTAAAATTTAAATAATGAAAAAATTGAAATTTTTGTGCTTTAATCTTTAAACTACATATATATATACATATATACAGTGATAGTGTGTTGAAGGGTATGATGTATAACTCCATTTGTGGTTTTCGGTAGGACTGGGCAAAGTTCCGTTAATTAAAAGTAGGTTTTTGATAATAAATGGAAAAGTCCATCAACTAACCACAAGAACCGCAAAGTTTTAAATTGTTCACAAAACAAATTAGCCATAGCCGTAAAAAAAAAAAAATAACTGTTCTAAAACGGAAACAGAAACAATTTTTTTAAAGCATGATTTTTTTTTGCCTAAAATTGCATAAAGCATGTAAAAAAATATGTTCTTACTTGTTTTGACGATTTTTATTGTTAATTTTTTTAAATTCTTTTAATTACTGTTGAAAATTTTCCATTAAATTGAGATTGTTAACTAACGATAACTTAAAAAAAAACAGAAAATACAAATGCCGAAACAAAGTTATGTTTTTCACCCTCTAAAACTAACAACTACCTGAGATTTTATTTTAAAAACGGTTGGAACAAACCGTTCAGGAAACAGCTTGAAAAAGTTGGAACATGCCCAGTCCTAGTTTTAGGGTTGCCATAATAAATAAATAAAATAATTTATCTAACACTATCTAACTTAATCAAATGAATTAAATATTTTGAATATGACCAGGGTTCTACCAGAAACAGATGACAAAAGCATAACAGAAATTCAAGCACTAATAAACAAGACAGACAAAGAAGCAGAAGTTGGACTATTAAAGCCTTATCCATATTTTGAAAAAGATGATGATGGTCAGTTCTGAACACGACTGAAATGCAATGAATCAATAACTTTTACAATTAACTATCCAAACTTTAAAAAGGTGATTTTGTATTAAATCTATGCATATATTGTTCTTTCTCTGTATCAAATAAACATAATATATCTCATGTGACCCTAGAGAAGATTTATGTCCAAATAAAATCGAAGAACTTTTAAAAGCTGAAACTGTTACTGAAGGGGGTCAAAAAGCCATGAAAACCTAGATTATTTAATTTAACTTAGAACTGCGTTAGAAGCGTTTCCCTAGCTTATTATAAAGATGAGCTTGAGTTCACTACAGGAATATTTCCAGATACCAAGATGTTGAATCACCTGACCAATTTGTGTAAATTAACATCGGCTTAAAGAATTTAGGGGTGTCACAAATTTATGGTTTAAAAAATATGTACAACACTGTTAGAAAAACCCGCTTACAATCAACAGTATTCAGTTCACGCACCAAGCCATGAAGATCCGTTGTAATATATCAACGATAATTCTGCTTGATATCAATTTACGGCCTGTACGCTAAATTCTAATTACATTCACTTGAATTCTACTTACTTCAATCATCAGAAATCGAAGCAAGCATAATCCTGCTTACGTTAATTACAGTGATCCGGCTTTGAATATTGAGATCAAGTGTTCAAGATTAACATAAACAATAACATTAACAATAAAATACAAGTCGAGTGTTAAATTAAAACAAATAATTTTCCTTCTTCTTCCTTCTGGTGGATTCATCTTATCCTGTTAAAAAATATTTTAATCCAAGTTATAAAAAATTAAAGTCTACAAAATTCTTGAGACTTATGGGCAAAGTTTCGTTATGAGGAATGATATAAAATTAAAGGAAAATTTCATCATCATACTGTTAATTTTGAAATCGCTAATTAAGGAAATAAATGGAAAAAATGACGGAGGCATTTAAAATTATGGATTTTTTTTTTTAATTTTCATTGGCTTAATTGCGTGGAAAACATAACTCTTGAACAAAACAATAGTCACCAGTAGAGGCAGCTAACAAATATTTGGAATATGTTATACCATTAACATCGATAAAAATTAACGAGCGGCATGCCAGTGAACTATTGTATAGTTAAAAACTTGATGAGCCTGTCTGGTCTGCTGATTACCCAACTATTAACGAATTGATTAAAAAAAAAGTGTGAACCTGCCCAGCCCTGTTTCAGACAGTTGATTTTTTAAATTGACTTGGATAAAAATAGTTCCTGCCTTAAGCCGAACGTGTTTTTTGTCCAAAGGTTTTAATTCTTTCATAAGTTTCTTAATTTCTCTCATTTCCTGAAAATTTAAAACCAAATAATCATTGTTTAATTCATTTAATATGAAAAAAGACATTGAGTTTAATTATTGGGATCTAATTTCTTTCCTTTACCTTTAAATGTATTTTTTAACTTTCACCATGAACTTCTTGATTTTCTTCTCGAGAAGTTTGGTTCCATGGGATCCTAGAATTTGTTTTTATTAACTTTATTAACAAGCAGGGCTATATATTTATATAAAAACTAATTTTCCCTTCTTTAGAAAAGGGGGAAAAACTTGCTGCACAAATTTTATATTTTTTTCCACATATGCATTGAAGTTCATTTTTTGACATTGAACAGTACCATCCCGTCCAATTCACAAAAGTACCATCCTGTCCAATTCACAACAGTACCATCCCGTCCTATTTACAAAAGTACCATCCTGTCCAATTCACAACAGTACCATCCCGTCCTATTCACAACAGTACCATCCCGTCCTATTCACAACAGTACCATCCTGTCCAATTCACAACAGTACCATCCTGTCCTATTCACAACAGTACCATCCCGTCCTATTAACAACAGTACCATCCCGTCCTATTCACAACAGTACCATCCCATCCTATTCACAATAGTACCATCCCGTCCTATTCACAATAGTACCATCCTGTTCAATTCAAAACACTACCATCCCATCGTCCAATTCACAACAGGACCATCCCTTTAAGTAGTTAAAGTTTAGTGCATACAATGAACTGAAGTTCATAATTAGATAATAGATTTTACAGAAAAAATATTAAATATTAAAAATTTTATGAATGAACAAAATATAAACACTACAGTTGTTGGGAAAAAAAAGTACAGAAATGATAAGGGTATTTATTTCCACCCCCTCCTGGCGCGTATTGGGAAGCATTGGGGATAAATGCGAGAAAAACTTGGATCTTCAGTGGTTGTTTCATCCTCCTATTTAATTTTTTTTAAGTTCAATAAAATTCAAATTAAATCATCGGGTTTCCTAATTTAGCTGGATGGTACAACATCATTAGGCCAAGCTTCTCACTAGAAAGGAATTTAAAAGGGAAAGAGGAAGATTTATTGTTAGTAAAAATTAAAATTATGAACGCCGACCGACATTATCTAAAACTACAATATTTTCATACCCGTCTATTCGTCCATCTTGAAGAAAAATCTTTGCAGCAAAATGCCCAGCGATTGTCCACCCTATAAAAAATTAAATCATAAAAAAAATTCACTTAAGACGTCGTCCGCACAACAACCTGAGAAGGATATTTTTCAAAACATTAAGAATAGATTATATGTCTACTCATTATTCAATATATCCCTTAATGTTAATCCATTGATAACTTCTTCAAAAATTCAAGTTTCAAGTCTGTCATTAGTTTTTTACCTGTTCTATTGCTTTAACATTAATTTAATAGGTTACTAGTATAGCAAATATATTATAATAAGGAGGCAGCTCGGAGAGTTAGTGTCTAAAATAGTACCTCATAATGTGGAGACAGCTCCGAAAGTTAGTGTCTAAAATAATACCTCATAATGTGAAGGCAGCTCGGAGAGTTAGGGTCTAAAATAATACCTCATGATGTGGAGGCAGCTCGGGGAGTTAGTGTCTAAGATAATACCTCATGATGTGGAGGCAGCACGGAGAGTTAGTGTCTTAAATAATACCTCATAATGTGAAGGCAGCTCGGGGAGTAAGTGTCTAAAATAATACCTTATAATGTGAAGGCAGCTCAGGGAGTAGTGTCTAAAATAATACCTCATAATGTGAAGGCAGCTCAGGGAGTAGTGTCTAAAATAATACCTCATAATATGAAGGCAGCTCGGAGAGTTAGTGTCTAAAATAATACCTCATGATGTGGAGGCAGCTCGGGGAGTTAGTGTCTAAGATAATACCTCATGATGTGGAGGCAGCTCGGAGAGTTAGTGTCGAAAATAATACCTCATTTCTTAATGTTAATGGTTGACAATAGTATACCAACATGGTTTGAAGTATGTACCAACATTGTTTATAATGAAACATAAATTTTCAGAAATTTGTTTAAAAAATATTGTTCATATTTGTTCCATTAAACATCAATATTCTATGGCAATGTGAGCTCAGGCCCATGACAATATATTTCAAATCTGGGATTTCAATTTTAATAGTGTGAGGCCCCATTTGGCATTAAAGGGACAGGGACTCCCTTTACGTAAATAGTTCACTGTAAACATCTCAAATAGAATCTCTGTATAGCAATGTTTTGAGGGAAGAGTATTCTATTTTTTATTTACCTTGTGTTTGTTTTAAACTTGTTTGTTTTCGACTTGTTTGTTTTCGACTTGTTTGTTTTCAACTTGTTTGTTTACAACTTGTATGTTTACAACTTGTATGTTTACAACTTGTTTGTTTACAACTTGTTTGTTTACAACTTGTTTGTTCTCAACTTGTTTGTTAATCTTTTTTTCAACAGTTTGTTTACAATCTGTTTATTTATAAACCCGGTGTAATGATACAGAAAGTATTCTACATATTTGCATCCTTTCACAATTTAGGCTTTTATAAATAACAATTTTTTATCTAGATTCATTCCTTTATAAAAAGCTGTTTGTTTTGGTATGCAAAAATTTTCCCGCCCCTTTTAAAAATAATAATAAATAATAAAAATAATTTGTTATTTTTTACAAAGGAATGTCATTTACTCTCACTGTTTAATCTTACTCTCAATTACTATGTAAGCTTTATTAAATATAGAATATTTAATATAGAAAAAAATTAAAGAAATTTCCTGTATGGTTTTTCATAAAAATAATTTGTTATTTTTTACAAACGAATGTCATTTACTCTCAGACAAATTAGAATGAGAGTTAATGATACATTCGAAATAATTTATATCTTATAAATTATATCTTTTTTTAATTTCTTTTTTCCTGTATGGTTTTTCTTTTTTATTTATCAAGTTTATCATTTATTCTTTACTATATATTTTTTGTCACATTAGTTAATTACTTTTACCAATTTATTATCTTTTTGAAAATTAATATTCTTTTTATTCCATTGCTGCGAAACTATTAAGCAATTAATATATATCTAACCCTTCATGGTATTATTTCTTTATGCTAATAGTGTATTATCTATGTATCACTAGTTGACCTTACTTAGCTTTTTGCATTGTCAATTTGCACAACTAGACCAATTTAAGAAAAGTGAAACTGCCAATTTATCTGATAAGGTTCATAACATTTGTACTTTTATTTGTTCGGATTAATTTCTTAAATATTTTTTTCTTTATTTTATTTTCTTCCGAAAATATTGTCACATTAGGAATCGTCTGCTAGCGATAAATTCCTTTGTACAACGTTGCCAGCTGTAGAAATTCAATAAATATCGGAAAGATTTTACATGTTCTTTGATGTTGTTTGATAGAACAAACAAAAAAAGTTAGCTTAACCATAATTCAAGCCAAACTTAAACTTTAACCTAATGAGTTAATTATTGTTGATCTTTCAAACTTCAGGTTTATTCTTTTCAGCCCCCTGAGATTGAAGTTAAAAAAACATTATGTAGGTTTAAGTTCTAAGTCTTGAACTTTGTACTTAACTTCGTAGTTTTAACAGTTTCTAGAATTTAGCGCATGCCCTTTTTCTCTTGATTTATGGAAGGAACTGGATTATGTAATTCCATTAATGTATTTTTCAATACGTACATAACAATTAGGCCTATACTGTAATTTGTATTGGTGAGTAACCTTTTTGTAATTTTCCAGGAGGGCATAGCTCTTTTGTGGGGTTGCCCCCCCCCCATGAACTGCATACTGCATACACATTACACCCCTACAGTTTATATCTTATTATATCAAGTCTGAGAAACCAGCAATTAGATAATTAGCTAATTAATTAATTATTCTAATAGTTGAGAGATAACTATTACAGTGGGCTTAGTTTTAATTATACAGTTCAGGGTTTAGAAAACAGCTCTTAAACAGACTCAAGTCCTAATTTCAAGTGATCCTTCATCTAATAAAGAAGCACGTTCTACTCACACCGGTTTTTATGATCAAATAATCAGTTTACAAATGTGGCATCTCTATAAACGTGATTTGCGGATTTCAGCTTCAGACATTACGGATTTAAGCTTCAGAAACAATAGAGGAAATTGTCAGAATTGTTACATTATTTATTGATAAATTATACAAATTATTTGAATCAGACATACCACGAATAGAGGGGTCACTTAAAATTATGTCTACAGTCCCTTTAATTAACACATTTGTACTGTACGCTTTACGCTGTACAATGTATGCGTACGTCGTACACGTTTCCATAATTTTAAAAATATATCTAAAAGTAAACACTGTAGAGTATAAGGGGTGTCCCACATCATATTAGATCGTCAATCGGTCTAAATTACGATTTTCAGGACTGATCAGAAAATTTAAATTTTGAAAAATTTAATGAGGTTAGTATTGCGGAAAATACTAGTTTTTTCGAGTATTATGGTTGTAATTTGGCGTTAAAGCTTGAAGATAATCTAATATGATATGGGACGCTCTGTATGCACGCATATGCTTCATGACAAGAAACAAAAAATGTTTTGCCGGTTTATAGTCTGTAGTCCCATTTAACAGTACAAAACTGCAATTGTTAAACCGTTCAGGGTTCATTTAAAATTATCATGATTGTCCATTTAAGATCAGTCCTTTCCCCCCAAGGCTCTTTCCCGTTACATAATTTAATAAGATTGTTTCAAGATAAAATACGACTGGTGTTTATTTGGTTGACATTTTAACATATTATGTCTTAAATAGAATTCAAGCAAAAACAAGATTTCAATTGTTAGAAGTTTAATTTCTGAGGAAGCAGATGTTGACACGGGAATATAGTAAAAACACAATTCCATATTTAAATAGAAAATTAAAAGTCAAAGTACAAGAACGGGTTAGAAAAAAAATCAAAATAACGAGAAACTTAAAAAAAAATATTAACTTAACGATTTTTATTTAGAATAAGATTATGTTTTTAAATATTTACAACTACTTTACAAGGAGGTTAAGGGAATTTTACTTTACCAAGACCAATTTTGTTCACAAAATATATAGAGCTCAGCTAGGGATGTTTTGTAGACAAAATTGGTCGAGGGAACCCGTGGTTAAGTAAAATTCCCTTAACTTCTCTGTAAAGTAGTTTTGCACAATTTTATCGTCTTTTGTAAAAAAATGCGCGATTTTTTACTAAGAACTTCGCAGAAAGGGTGGTTATTTTACATAATTGTCCCAAGGGACATTAAGTAACCTAACCTCCCTCTGTTGGGGGAATCATAGATCGGTAATGTTGGCCAAAAGGCGGTAAAACATAAAGCAAAATGAATTTATTTCTAAAATAAAAAGTTTATTTGAAATTTTTATAAGAGCAAATATGTATAAAAAAGGCATAAAGTTGTGGTTAAAGTTGTTCAAGTGTTAAAATGGTTTATTTCCTTAAAGCAAGTCGAGTTCTTGCTTAAACATTTGACATTCAAAACAAATACTAAAACTGCAATTTACCAATAGCTTGCATCCAAGTTCAATTTATATTTGTACCTCCANATCCATTTCTTATTTCTCATAGCAAAGTATTTATATGTCGATGCACTTACATAAAAGCAGTTGTTGAGTTGTAAAAAATGTAAAATCGGGAAAAATAAAGAGATACTGGATATTGTTTATAAAGCAGGCCAAGTACGTTCAAATATAAGATTACAAAAATGCACATGAACTAACAATTGTCTTTTCAGCCTATCTGGGTGAAGTGAATATCCTTACACCTTATATTTATTTCGGAAATATTTAATAAGATATGATTTATAACAGAAAGCTGATTTTCTAAAAAAAATTTGAAAGGAAATTAGAAAACAAATAGCAAAGTTAATACATAATATATGATTAATAATATGTGTTGTCGGCCAATGTCGATGGTGTCATATTTAAAGTTTATTGTCAAAATGGTGTCTGAAACTCATAGAAACAAAATTGCGTCAATCTTCTTACCTTTCTCGTGCGGTGCTCTATCATCAGGAGGAATAGGGCAGCCTTGTCCACAGTTACCCCATCTTCCTTTCCCTCCAACATGGTGTCCGTCATCATCTACTTCAGTAGAACACCAGGCCTGAAATTCAGCCACGTGTTAAATGCGCAATATTATATCAAATTCGTCCATTGAAGAAAGTGTACACAGCAAACTCATCATTTAGGATTACAAAGCTAACATCTAGATAATTAAAATATCCATTGTTCCTTTACGGGAATTTTATCTAAAATAAATGTATTTCTAATTTACATATTCAATTACGTTTATAGGTTTGCTGGAGGGAAATAAATAACAAGATTATCTACAGAATAGAGAATATACAAATTGTTTAATTTCTTAAAACATTTTTGAGCGGACACAAAACCTTTTCTCATTTTTCTGAGTGAAATGTAGAATTCCGACCTCAATTTGTATTCAGTCACTGGGTTGCAAAAAATGTTGGCGAAAACTTCAAAATAAATTAATTTTGGAAGCCATCTTGAAAAAGGAAAGCTATAGAGCCTATAGAACGAAAACTGTCATGGCGTCAGTGTTTCAAAACTAACATTAACTGCAATGTTGAAACATAAATTAGGTGGATTTTCTGCTTCAAGTTTAAAGCCTGGGTTAGCAACCCAACCGTGTATCAGATTATCTATGAATTAATCTAAATTTCGGACTCCAAACATGGTATGTTTACAATAGAAACACAATTGCTACACTGTTAGA